AGGCAGCAATAGATTGGGGGTGGGACCAAATAAAAGGTAAGAATAACTTGGGGGGTGGGGGTGGGGAGAACCGGTTCGGTGACATCATATCGTCACCGCTACCGGCTCGGCCGAACCGGACCGGGAGGAACCCACCACTGCTGTACTACAAAGGAAGCCAATTCCGCTGAAATGCAGTTCTCAAAATATTTTTTTTTAAGAAAAAAAAAAACCCAGTCTAATAACTTTACTGAATTTATTGATGCGAATCAACCTTTCTGGAATCTAGAGACCTTCAATTACTAACTACATTCATTCTTGAATTAAAAATTTGATTTCAATGGAAGGCTAACAAACTTATTCCCCACAAGAAGTTGATGGACTCTTGAAATCACAAACTAACCTATCCTGCAGCATTTTTGACTTATTTATTCAGCTCCTACTGTGTAGCTGCCCATCTCAATCAATGACTCTAGGCTGCTTACAATTCCCCCCCCCAAAAGAGAAGAGTTAAAAACATAAAAATCATTTTATTGATCTGCGGGGTGCTTGGTGCTCTCTGAGCTTGGCGGTTTTCTTGCAGACGTTTCGTTACCCAAATTAGGTAACATCATCAGTGCTGCTGATTGATTTGTATCCCGCCTTTATTATTCTTAGCAATAACGCAAGATGGTGAACATATCCAACACACCTTCCTCCTCCTATTTTCCACACAACAACCCTGCCAAGTTATTAAATTATTAAAAGAATTGAGCTGATAGAGGAGGATGGCCCAAGGTCACCGAGTGGCTTTCATGTCTAAGGAGGGACTACAACGTACTGTCTTCAGCTGATTGGTCCAAAGTCATCTAGCTCATTTTCATGCCTAAGGCAGGACTAGAACTCATGTCTCCTAATGATTGGCCCAAAGTCACCTAGCTGGCTTTCATGCCTAAGGGAGGACTAGAGCTCATTTGCTCCTGATGATTGGCTGAAAGTCACCCAGCTGGCTTTCATACCTAAGGCAGGACTAGAACTCACCTTCTCCTAGTGATTGGCCCAAAGTCACCCAGCTGGCTTTCATGCCTAAGGCAGGACTAGACCTCACCACCTCCTGATGATTAGCCCAAAATCACGGAGACAACTTCCATGTCTAAGGCAGGACTAGAACTCACAGTCTCCTGTTTTTTAGCCAGGTGCCTTTATCACTAACCAAACTGATTAGTTTTAAAACAATAAAACATCCTAAGTAAATACACAGCAGCTGACATAAGTTAACTAGTTAACTTATTAGTTACAGAGTTAATTAACTAGTTACAGAGCCGAGGTGGCGCAGTGGTTAGGGTGCAGTACTGCAGCTACTTCAGCTAACTGCTAGTTCAGCAGATCAGCGGATCAAATCTCACTGGCTCAAGGTTGACTCAGCCTTCCATCCTTCCGAGGTGGGTAAAATGAGGACCCAGATTGTTGGGGGCAATATGCTATTTAGTATACTGTCTTTGGTGTAAGCCGCCCAGAGTCTTCGGAGAGTGGGCAGCATAGAAATATGAATAATAAAATAAATAAATAACAGTCGTTCTACCCATGGCCTTAACTTGATAACACCAAGATACAATAATCCCGCAGCATGGACACAGCGCATGATGACAAGCTCTGGTTTCCATTAACCAGGTTTGAGCGTATCAACTCGAGCTAGTCTGAATCCTCGCCCCAGAGATAACAGGGTTTGAACTAGAGTTCCCTGCTTGCAAAACTTTGTGCTTGGCCCTGGATTGTGCAGTCCTTCCCTCCCACCCGGCAAGGGACACATCCTTTCCATATTTGCAAAGGAAGGGAGGTGCTTTTCCCCAACAGTTACTGCTGGGGTGGAGGGTGCCTCATCTGTCAGTGAAGGCGTCAGTTGTGCAAATCAGTTGTGTTTGCATTCCAGCTATGCAGGCCTGGGGTGGAAACTGTGCCCAAGTTTTGAGCTGGCACTGCCTGGGCTCAGCTGTCAGAAACAGCCCAAAGTCAGAAGAGGGTCACCTTGATGTGCAAAGTGACATCACGAGGCTCTCGCAGTGCTGATTGGTGGACCGACTGATTGACAGCAGTCCTGATTGGCTCCAACCCCTTATATTTATTTGGTTGATCTTGTTTGATATCTCACTTAACTTTCCACTTCCAAGGTCTTAACAGCTGACTGGGGGATTCTGGGAGTTGAAGTCCCCACATCTTAAAGTGGCCCAGGTTGAGAAACACTAATCTAGTGGACTTGACTTGTCCAATTTGGTAATTTTAATTCCTTGAATAAAAACAAAACAAAACACGAAGCTGGCATGCTACAAACTAAGACAGCGGTGGGCAACTGTGGCCCTTTTACAACCTGTGAACTTCAACTCCCAGAATTCCTGAGACAGCCAAGCTGGCTCAGGAATTCTGGGAGTTGAAGTCCACAGGTCATAAAGGGGCCATATTTGCCCACCCCTGAACCACTTCAAGCACAATTCTCTGTTAGGGCGTCACATCAAATCCAGAGAGATTCTAAAGAAATCTAATGAGGGGAAGCTACAATCCAGGATGACTTTTGAGAAGTTGGCAGATCGAGCCTCCAAAGACACAAAGATTTAAGTTCAACGTAGCAGGGATAAATTTCCCTTCCAGTAAATGGGTGTTTTGTGATTGAGGATGCCAATCACAGCAGCTATTTTGGGAGTGTGCCCATTCTGGTTCTCAAAAATCCAGTTTTTGCTGGATGCAGGCAGGCCTCGACTTACAACAATTCATTTAGTGACGGTTTCAAGTTACATCAGTATGGAAAAAAACAATAAAGAAAAACAGAGTTGGAGGTCTTCTAGTCCAACCCTTTGCTCAAGAATATTCCGTTTTGCACAAATAGTTGTACAATCCCAAAAACTTCCATTGTTGGAAAACCCACAACTTCTGAAGGCAAAATGTTCCACTTATTAATTGAAATGTCTCCTTAGTTTCAAATCTCTCCATGATAACTTTACATTCAACTTTCGCTTTGTCCTCTGGTGCTTTGGAGACTAACAGAATAACAGAGGTGGAAGGGACTGTCCGATATTGCCTGCATATGATGCACCAGAGACTAGAAGGGGTTAAGTCTTTACAGACATCACATGTGACTATATCAGCCAATGAACTCTCTTATTGGACTCTTACCTAGAAACCACTTGGATATCTTCCCCTTTTTTTCTCTCTCTCTCATCTATCTCTCAGCGAGACTTCTCTCTCCTCTCAACATCTGAGTCATACAGTTAGGGTAAAAATGCAACGGGACACCCTGTTCATTATTGTATGCATGTATATATTTGTAAATAATAAAACCTTTTGAACCTGAAGCTGTATTGACCTCATAGAACCAAATGAGCACGACCATCAATACATATCTGATAGGGACCTTGGAGGTCTTCTAGACCACCCCCATGTTCAAAGCAGGAGACCCTGTACCAGGAGTGTCAAACTGGACTTCTTCGAGGGCCAGATCAGCATTGTACTTCTCCTCTGCAGGCTGGGTGGCGGGGGGGGGGACATGGGACAGATGCCTCCTGCAGCACCCTGCCAGCCAAAATGGGGCACAGGTGGGACATGCACGGCTCCCCCCATGGCCTTGGCCTGGATGGCCTCCTGCAGTACCCAACTGGCCAAAATAGGGTGTGGGGGAGCTATGGCAGAGTACTGCAGGAGGCTGTCCAGGCAGAGAATGGGCTCCGGGAGGAGGGCATTTTGGCTAGGAGTGCTGCAGGAGGCCATCCAGGGCGAAAACGGGGCGTGGGGCAGCCACGTGCGTCCCCGTGCCCCGTTTTGGCTGCCAGAGGCACCGTGGGGGCGGTCCTTTGCTATTTCCAGGCCAGATTTAAGCACCTTGAGTTTGACACCTGCTGCCTTATACCATTCCGAACGAATGGCTGTCCAATCTCTTCTTAAAAGCCTCCAGCGATGGAGCATCCACAACTTCTGGAGGCAAGTTGTCCCACTGATTAATTGTTCGCGCTGTTAGGAAGTTTCTCCTTAATTCCAGGTTGCTTCTCTCCTTGATTCGTAGCCATCCGTTGCTTCTTGTCCTGCCTTCAGGGGCTTTGGAGAACAGGATGACCCCAGTGGTGTGAAATCCAATTTTTTTTTTTACTACCAGTTCTGTGGGTGTGGCTTGGTGGGCGTGGCAGGGGAAGGATACTGCAAAATCCCCCCATTCCCTCCCCACTCCTGGGGGAAGGATATTGCAAAATCTCCATTCCCACCCCACTCTGGGGCCAGCCAGAGGTGGCATTTGCCGGTTCTCTGAACTGCTCAAAATTTCCGCTACCGGTTCTTCAGAACCTGCTGAATTTCACCCGTGGGATGACCCCCTCTTCTCTCTGGCAGCCCCTCAAATATTGGTACCCTGGCCCCTAGCCAAGGAGACACATGTCTTCCTCTCTGAAAGTCCCCCCCCTTTTTTTTATTTGATTTATATGCCGCCCTTCTCCGGAGACTCAGGGCGGCTTACAATGTGCTCAGCAATAGCTTTCATCCTTTTGTATATTTATACAAAGTCAGCTTATTGCCCCCACAAACTGGGTCCTCAATTTACCCACCTTAGAAAGGATGGAAGGCTGAGTCAACCTTGAGCCTTGGAGAGATTCGAACTTACAGTAATTGCAGACAGCTGGTCTTAATAACCAGCTTAATAACAGGTTGCCTTAGACCACTGTACTACCAAGGCTCTTTAGCAGCTCCACTTCCTCTTAGGTTGAGCAAAGGGTGAAGGACCATCAAAGCAAAAAGAAAAGACATTTCAAAGCCCCCACCCTCCCTACACATACATCTATCCAGCTGGCCCAAATCTGATGCAGCCTAGCTTTTCCTTTCCTTTCCTTTTTTTTCTTTCCTTCCTTCTTCTTTTTTTTCTGGCCTGGAGACACTCCATGACTCATAAAGCCCAAAGAGGAAGCACCGAACGAGAAAGCGGGAAACCAGGCCAAAGCCGCAGCTGCTGGAAGTGCCGGCGTTACGTCAGGCCTTGCATTCCACCCGGGATGTGGCCTCCACTTGGTCTCCCTGGAAACGGTTACACCAAACGGCACACACATCAGCCAACGGTGGAGGGGAGGGGGGAGGAAATTCCAAAAATGATCCATTTAGGCTGCATTTTCGTAAGCGTGCTCACGTGCGCCAAGGGGGCAGGAAGAATGCCAATATGAGGTGAGCCGGAGGGGAAACGGAGGGCGAGCTGTAATTTTTTTTTTTAATTTTTTTTTTTTTTAGCATCCTGGAGTGGGGAAGAAGGAAACCTGATTGACTGAGTCTGATTTGCAAAATTCTTGGCACTTTGCAACGAGATTTCAGGCTTGCTTTGCAAATTCAGCCACGCCGCTGCTCAGCTCCGGCTAAACAACATGATTTTTTTTGGCAAGAGAATTTGCATGCCTTGCTTGCTGGACTGCAGGTGCTGAAGAAGGGGGTGGGGAGGGGAAATGAAGGTTAACGAGGAGGCAAATGGAAAAAATGAAACAAAATCAGAGTAAAGTTATTAATAAAATTACTCCGGATTGGAATTGAATAGGGGTGCTTGAAGTAAAGCCTGACCAGCTGCTTGGCTGTTTTATGTAAAAATCTTTTTACAATACAGATCGTCCTCAATTTGCAACCTCAACCGAGCCCAAATGTCGGTTACTGAGACATTTGTTAAGTGAGTTTTGCCCCATTTTATGATCTTTTGTTAAGTGAATCATTGCAGTTAAGTTAATAACATCGTTGTTAAGTGAATCTGGCTTCCCCATCGACCTTGCTTGTCAGGAGGTCACAAAAGGGGATTACATGGCCCCGGGGCACTGCAGACGTCATAAATATGAGTCAGCTGCCAAGTGTCTAAATTTTGATCATGTGACCATGGGGATGCTACAGCGGTCCTAAAATGTGAAAAATGGTCGTCACTTTTTTCAGTGTTGTCGTAACTTTGAATGGTCACTAAATGAACAGTTGTAAGTGGACGTCTACCTGTATTGTATTTGATACAGGGGTGAAATCCAGCGGGTTCTGACAGGTTCTGGAGAACCGGTAGCAGAAATTTTAAGCAGTTCGGAGAACTAGCAAATGCACCTCTGGTTGACCCCAGGAGTAGGGTGGGAATGGAGATTTTGCAGTATCCTTCCCCTGCCATGCCCACCAAGCCACACCACGCTCACAGAACTGGTAGTAAAATAATTTGGATTTCACCACTGATTTAATATATATAGGTCCGTGATGGTAAACCTATGGCAGGCGTACTACAGGTGGCATGGGGAGACATATTGGTGGGCACGTGAGCGTTGCCCTAGCTCAGCTCCAGCATGGATGCGTGCGCTGGCCAGCTGATTTTCGGGCCTCCTGGGCCCACCGGAAGTCGGCAAATGGGCTATTTCCAGTCTCCGGGGGTGGGGGTGGGGAAAGCTGTTTTCGCCCTCCCCAGGCTCCTAGAAAGCCTCTGGAGCCTGGGGAGGACGAAAAACAGGCCTCCTGTGTCAACCATGCCATCACATGTGAAAAGCGGGAGGAGCACGGGAGGGTCGCATGTGCATGTGGGGGGGGTGCATGGACTTATGGGTGTGGGCACCGACTTGCGCGACCACCCCGCACTCCCCCCCGCTTTTGGCACGCGACGGCAAAAAGGTCTGATATAGGTAGTCTTTAACTATAACTGGGACCAGAATTTCCATTGTTAAGCAAGGCTGCTGTTAAGTGAGTCACACCCAGATTTACCTTTCCCACCCAGTTTTTAAGTGAATCACTGCAGTTACTAAGTGAGTCACACTGTCATTAAGTGAATCCAGCTTTCCCCATTGACTTTGCCTGATGGAAACTGACAAAATGGCAATAATGGGGCCCTGCAACCATTGTTAAATACATGCTAGTCCTCAAGTGCCTGGATTTTGATCACACGACTATGGGAATTCTGCAATAGCCGCAGGGGTGAAATCCACTTACATTTGCTACCGGTTTGCAAATAGGAGCATGCGCGCACACTCGCTTCGCTTGCGCGCAACACCTCTGTACATGCACAGGACCTTTTGCGCATGTGAAGAGCATCAAAAACGGGACGTGATGATGTCCGGGCGGGTGGGCAGAGCCTCCCGCCACCGGCGCTACCGGTTTGCCCGAGCTGGATAGAACCGGCTGCATCTCACCACTGAATAGTGGTACGTATGAGGATTTATTTTATTTATTTATTTTTCAGATTTCTATACCGCCCTTCTCCTTTCGGACTCAGGGCGGTGAACAGCCAAGATAAAAAACATTTATACACAAAAGTTAAAAATAGATTTTAAATAATTAAATAAATTTGGCCCGTAATTTAAAACATTTCAATTAAAATCCATATCAAATTATAAAACCAACCATAAAATCAAGAGAGACCGGCTAACTGAAAGAGATGAGTTTTTAGGGCCCGACAAAAAGTCCGGAGGTCGGAGATCACTCGTATCTCTGGGGGTAGATTGTTCCAGAGGGTAGGTGCCACCACAGAGAAGGCTCTCCCCCTGGGGGTCGCCAGCTGACATTGTCTGGCCGACGGCACCCTTAGGAGGCCCTCTCTGTGGGAGCGAACTGGCCGGTGGGAAGCAATTGGTGGCAGAAGCGCACCCGGAAGTCCACCGGAAGCCAATGCAGCTCGCGCAGGAGAGGAGTCACATGGGAGCGCCCAGTCGCTCCCATAATCCCCCGCGCGGCCGCATTCTGCACCAGTTGGAGCCTCCGGGTGTACCCCAAGGGGAGCCCCATGTAGAGAGCGTTACAATAGTCCAGACGAGAAGTGACGAGTGCTTGAGTGACCGTGCGTAGGGAGTCCCGATCCGGAAAGGGGCGCAACTGGCGTATCAGGTGAACCTGATAAAAAGCCCCCCTGGCCACGGCCGTCATATGCCCTTCTAAAGACAGCCGTGCGTCCGGGAGGACACCCAGGTTGCGGGCCCTTTCCGTGGATGAGTTCTACATCACTTTTATCAGGAATCGCGTAACTCTGAATGGTTGCTAAATGAACAGTTGTAAGTGGAGGACTACCTGTATTCAGGGATCCCTGCCTCATAGAAGCTACAGGGGGAAAAAAAGCTCTTTTCTGAGAGAGATGTACTCTTTCTATGCTCAGAGGGACAGTGTCCTTTGTTCCATTGAAGTGAAATATATTCCGGAGAACAACTCAACCCACAGTTCTTACTTAAGGTGCAAATTACTCAATTCAAATTATCATGTTTGAGACACATTATATGAAGACCCAAAAGGTGCTTTTTCAAGAGGCAACTGGACTTTCTGGTTTTTCTTTGAAGACGTTTCGCTTCTTCAGCTTCTCGGATGAGAAGCGAAACGTCTTCAAGGAAAAACCAGGAAGTCCCGTTGTCTCTTGAAAAAAGCACCTTTGGGACAACCATGACCTGGATGACTGAGAACATTATGTGAAGGCCCAGCTCCCTTGAGAGTCCATGACGTTGGTGGAAGGAAAGTGAAATGACCCCAAGCACGGGTGATGGATTCATAACATCAGTGATGGGTGTACCCAGTGGTGAAATCCAATTTTTTTTACTACCGGTTCTGTGGGCGTGATGTGGCTTGGTGGGTGTGGCAGGGGAAGGATACTGCAAAATCCCCATTCCCACTCCACTCTGGGGCCAGCCAGAGGTGGTATTTACCGGTTCTCCAAACTACTCAAAATTTCCGCTACCGGTTCTCCAGAACCTGTCAGAACCTGCTGGATTTCACCCCTGGTTTTAGTCTCTGGTCCCTTTAATCATTTTTGTTGCCCTTCTCTGCACTCTTTCTAGAGTCTCAACGTCTTCTCAATCCATGTGGTTGCCAAGCGTGGACACCAACTTGACCGCACATAATCAATCCAGCTTCTTCAAGGAAACGTTGAGCATCTTGATCTTAGTGTACCGATGATGTTACCTAGATTGGGTAATGAAACATCTGCAAGAAAACAGCCAAGCTCAGAGTGCACCAAGGACTCCATAATTCAACCCCGAGCTACAATTATTCCCTTCTTATCAGTGAGCTTAGTGCATTATTCAAACTGAAGATTCTTCTACCCCAAGAATTGATACCTAGGAGCACAAGCCGAGATTACATTCATTCGAGTAGAGTGCAACCAAAAAACCATGCAAGTAAACCAAGGTTACTCAATTCTTCGGTAAATTCTGTATGTAAATTTGTTCCTAAACCCTTTTTCGCTTAGATTTCCCAATCTAGCCCCCACTGTCCACTATGACTGGAAATATCATACGTGGATCTTGGGTGTGTCCAAACGAAACAGAGAGGTTTTTAAATCAGCAGAACTCAAACCGCCATCCTGTGACTTTCCCTGCAAGGCTTGGGGTGGGGGTGGGGGTGATTGGGAAGGGTGACTGACTCATTCCCAGAGGAACCTTCGGTAGAAAACGCAACGTCAGGGAACTTTCTGTCCGAACGTGACACATCTTTTTAAGTGGCTCAATCTCATCGGCTACACTCCGTTGGCAAGCGCAGGATTTGGGCACAAAATGTTTTAAAACCACCTGACCTTAAGTGCGGGCACATTTTTTTTCCCCCTCACGGGAGAAAATGAGATTTAACTTGAGCAGCCCACTGGAGAGTGACGTGCTTTGAGATGTTAATGAACCGTAGAGCCGAACCGATCTTCTGCACAACTGGATCGCATCCTGGCATTGTCCTCCCTCAATTTTCTCTTGGGGGGAGGGGGGATCTGCTCCTCCCCCACTTTAGCCACACATGATTTCCGCAGTTAGAAGCTGCCACTCAAATAAACCCATCAGTCATAACTTCCAGGCAGCTGGGCCAGAAATAAAAGGAGGATGTTACTTAAGAATTTGTGTGTGTGTGTGTGTGTGTGTGTGTGTGTGTGTGTGTGTGTGTGTGTGAGGGGTGGGTGTTTCAAAGCAGGGGAAGTAGCCCTCGCCATACCTCAACCTTGTACACATCAGATCGGCTGCTTCGAATCAGGAAGCTGAATCAAGATTTGTTCCCTGATTCAGCATTTGTTCTTAAGTCCTAACCCTTCCAGTTGAATTTGTGTGTGTCTTCCTGTCCACCCTCCCTAATGTTCTACTAAGCATACGTACCTTCAAGAAAAGGGAAACACCCGGGTTTTCTCTGCCACCTCAAACAGCACAAACAGATTGTCATATCCTGGCTGTGTTTACGCAAGCCATTAAACCTGGTCATGTTTTCCCACCCTTATCCATCTGCTGATAACTGTCCAGCGGCCATGTTTAGGGTGATCTGGGCCTTATCGCTTGGAACATCGGTTGGGCTGCTGGAACAATGATTCAGGCTATCTTGATAGATAAAATCACTTAGATTGGCTGGAACCTGAACTCAGACTCAGGGGAATAGATTAAAATGCTTAGGGCCTGGTCCAGGGGCGTGATCCAGGCAGGTTCTGGAGAACCGGTAGTGGAAATTTTGAGTAGTTCAGAGAACTGGCAAATACCACCTCTGGCTGGCCCCAGAGTGGGGTTGGAATGGAGATTTTGCAATATCCTTCCCCTAGGAGTGGGGAGGGAATGAGGAGTTTGCAGTATCCTTCCTCTGGAGTGGGGTGGGAATGGAGATTTTGCAGGATTCTTCTCCGACACACCCACCAAGCCACACCACGCTTACCATGCCATGCCCACAGAACCAGTAGTAAAAAAAAAATTGGGATTTCATCACTGGTGTGATCTGAATTGAATTTGAGCTGATGACACCAGAGGAAGTGGATCGGGTCCTTTGAGCTGTTTACAGGTAGTCCTTGACTTGCAGCTGTTCATTTAGTGACCATTCGAAGTTACAATGGCACTGAAAAAAAGTGACCTATGACCTACTGAGGCACGCGGCCCACCCGAGCTCCATTTTCACTGGCGGAGGGCTACAGGAGGCTGTCGCGGCTGAAAACGGAGACTCGATGAGTGACTTCAAGCTGGCCACACCTACCCTGGCCATGCCCCCCAGTCCCCCAAGGTCAAACACAACTCTGATGTGGCCCTCAGTATAATAAAATTTGGCACCCCTGACCTAAACCAAGGGTCCCCATGCCTCGGTCCGTCACCGGTCCATGGCATGCCAGAAACCGGTCTGCGCCAACAAGCCAAGCCCCATCCACAGGATGCAGACAGCATGTTTAGGTTTAGAGTTTAGGTTTTATTTGATTTATATACCGCCCTACTCCCGAAGGACTCAGGGCGGTGAACAGCCACAAGATAAAACACATAAATACAAAATTTAAAAGCAAAATAAAACCGAATTAAACAATTTGACCCAAGACAGATTTAAAACACCCCAATAATTAAGAACAGATTAAAATTTACATTTTAAAAGGGGAAAATGGGAAAGTTAGGCCAGGCATGTGAAACAACGTCCCCTCTGGTCCATGGTAAAACCTCTCTCCATGGAACCGGTCCCTGGTACCCAAAGGTTTGGGGGATACTGATCTAAACTAGCTTCAATTGGGTTTCTAGCTGGGTCCTAGTATTGGGACAGTCTTGGTAGTGCTTCAATGGAGCCAGAATGGTGGTGGTACATCCATCCTTGTGTTTCTTGATCTCTTCGTGGCTTTTGAAATCATCAACCATGGTTATCCTTCTAAGATGGCTTTGTAGATCACCATTTTAGGGTGATTCAGTTGGTGGTGGGGGGTGGGGAAGAGATTATTCCCTGAGCCCCAGTGGTGAAATCCAATTTTTTTTTACTACCAGTTCTGTGGACGTGGTTTGGCAGGCGTGGCTTGATTTGGTGGGCGTGGCAGGGGAAGGATACTGCAAAATCTCCATTCCCACCCCACTTCAGAGGAAGGACACTGCAAAATCCCCATTCCCTCCCCACTCTGGGGCCAATCAGAGGTGATGTTTGCCGGTTCTCCGAACTACTCAAAATTTCCGCTACCGGTTCTCCAGAACCTGTCAGAACCTGCTGGATTTCACCCCTGCTAAGCCCCTCATTTATGGGATGCTACAGGGTCCCACTCTCAGTTCCTTCCTTTTTAAAATCTACATGAAACTCCTGGGTGAGGTAATCTGCCTCATATCTATCATATCTTCCAACGCTAGGCTGCCCAAGTGAGACTATCTAGTTTCTGTCTCAGTGTCAGGAAACTGTATAAGTTTGGGGAGGAAGAACCATCTCATGCTGGCTGGGAAATTCTGGGAGTTGAAATCCACTCGTCTTAAAAATTCCTGTTGAGAAACACTGGATTAACTTCCACGGTAGTGGTGGGCGGACTAGCCTGGGTCTCCCCATGCCTAGTCTATCCTCTTCCTCAATCTTGCATTCTGGCCTAAGAGAGAGAGAGACTGGATAGAAGACACCTGGAATTGTTTCAATGTCCTCTCACATTTAATGTTTTCAGTTGATTACTACTTGCTCTAGAACAGCACCAGCTGTTCATGGACCAGCACTGGGCCATGGCATGGCAGATACCAGGCCACGCAAACAAGCAAAGCCTCATCCGTGGGATGTAGACAGCATGCGAAATAACGTTCCCCTCCAGTCCGCAGAAAAATCTCTCTCCGTGGAACCGGTCCCTGGAGCCCAAAAGGTTGGGGGCCCCTGGTCTAGAAAGTTTGGGCTTTGGGCAGTCTAACCCGGTGTCAAACTCAAGGCCCGGGGACTGGATCCGGCCTGCGGGGTGTTTAGATCTGGAACCTGGGTCTGCCCTGGAAACAGGGGAGGACCGGCTCGCGGTGCCTCTGCCAGCGAAAAGGGAAGTCTCTGGTAGCGAAAATGGAGCTCGGGGAAGCTGTGGGCGGCCCTCCCAAGCCCCGTTTTTGCTGGCAGAAGGCTGCAGGAGGACATCGCGGGCCAAAACGGAGCCTCAATGAGTGATATTGAACTGGCCATTCCCCCCCCGGCCACATACACACACCCGGCCCCCAGAGGTCAAACACAACCCTGATGCGGCCCACAATGAAATCGAGTTTGACACCACTCCTCTAACAATAGAGGTAGTCCTCAACTTACAACCATTCATTTAGTGACTGTTCCAAGTTACTACAGCATTGAAATAAGTGGCTTATGATCGTTTTCCACACTTACAACATCCCCATGGTCAAATGATCAAAATCCAGGCGCTTGGCAACTGGCATGTATTTATGACAGTTTCACTGTCCCGGGATCATGTGATCACCTTTTGTAACCTATCCCGTTTACTTCCGACAAGCAAAGTTAATCGGCGAAGCCTTAATGACGGCACAATTCGCTTAACAATTGCGGCAAAAAGTCGTAAAATGGGGGCAAAACTCACTTAACAAACATTTCGCTTAGCAACATAAATTTTCGACTCGATTGTGATCATAAGTCGAGGACTACCTGTAAAAAAAACAAAGACATGACTGATATACAGGTAATCCCCGATATACGACCACTATTGTCTCCAAAATTTCTATTGCTAAGCGAGATAGTTGTCAAGTGAATTTTGTCCCGTTTTAGACCTTTCTTGCCACCGTTAAGTGAATCTGGCTTCCCCATTGGTTTTGCGTGTCAGATGGTCGCAAAAGGGAATCACATGACCCCGGGACAATGCAACCGTCGTAAATATGAATCAGTTGCCAAGCATCTGAATTTTGATCACATGACCACAGGGGTGTTGCAATCGTCTTAAGTATGAAAAAATGTCATAAGTCACTTTTTCCAGAACCGTTCTAACTTCAAATAGTCATTAAATGAACACAGTACAGGACTACCTGTACTGAACTCTACTGAACTCTACCGCAGTCTCTATGACGTCTTAAAAAGGAAATAAAAAGTAATAAAACCCTTCTGATTAGGCTTTAAAACAAGGAACTACTCTAGACTGGGTTAAATTACTTCTCGTCACTATTATTTCGTGCATACTCAGATTTTAATACTTCCCTTTGCTTAAGGGGAAATATTATGGGGATGTATAATACAGTTCCCGAAAAGCCTTAGATTACAAATGCCCACGCAGTGTCCACCCAACAGTGTTACGCAAGATCAGTTACAAATTGGAACTCTATTTGCCCAATACTGTTATCCTGGGTGAAATTTAATTTGGTTATTTATTTTGCTTGCCCTTAGTGTATTAGGTGATCCTCAGTTGATGGTTCAGTTAGATTTGCAATCCAGAAAATTTGTTAACCAGAAAAGAGTTGTTAACCTAATCTTGCGTAGCTTCTTCTCTGGTAATATTGTACTGCTAACTAGAGCATACAAAACATTTGCTAGACCAATTCTCGAATACAGCTCATCTGTCTGGAACCCGCACTGCATATTGGACATAAATACAACTGAGAGGGTCCAGAGATGTTTCACGAGAAGAGTCCTCCACTCCTCCGCTCGCAACAAAATACCTTATACCACCAACTTGAAATTTTGGGCTTAGACAATTTAGAACTATACCGCCTTCGGTCTGATCTAAGCATAGTACATAAAATTATCCATTACAATGTCCTACCTGTCAATGACTACTTCAGCTTCAACCACAACAATATATGAGCAAATAATAGATACAAACTCAAGGTAAACTGCACCAAACTCGATTGCAGGAAATACGACTTCAGCAACAGAGTGGTCAATGCCTGGAATGCACTACCTGACTCTGTAATTTCTTCCCCAAACCCCCATAACTTTAACCTATCTACTGTTGACCTCACCCCATTCCTAAGAGGTCTGTAAGAGGCGTGCATAAGCGCATCAACATGCCTACCGTCCTTGTCCTAATGTCTCCTTTTATTCATATCCATTTCATGTATTAATAACCATGTTTATACCTATATCTGTTATCTAATACGTGCTTGACAAAATAAATAAAAAAATAAAGATGGGCAAGCCCAAAGACAAACATAAAAAAAAAATGAATTTGT